GGCGTCCCTGTTGAAGCCAGTGAGACCTAGGCTTGGGAGGCCGGCTGAGGACCCCTTGGGTGAAGGCGGGGTGGGGGCGGGGCGCCGCCAGGGCCTGGGGCCAGGCTCCCCTCAGGGTGCGTGTGGGTCACTTAGCTCCTGAGGGAGTGTAGGAGCCTTTCTGGGGGAGCGGTTGGGAGCCGTCGGGGGCGGGGAGAGGTAAGGGCTGGGCCTCCCTCTCCTGGCTGGCCGGACTGGGGGTGTCCCTGTGAGGTGAAGGTGCGACGTCCGTGAGGAGAAGGGAAAGAGGAGGGGCCAACGGTCGAGAGGACCCTAGGCCCGAGGGCCTGCTGGGTGAGAGTTCGAGAAAGGAGAGAGTTACCGCAAGTGTGGAGGCAGGCGGGCGAGCGCGTAGCGGGGATGGAGGGGAAGATCATCTCCTGTGAACCTCTTGGCCCGGAAAGGCCACTTCTTCATTTATATTACAAACGAGGCTCCAATTTAGGGCCGTAAGGGTCTGTAACGACGGAAAAAGCCGAGGGGTGGGGTGGCGTTACAATCCGCTTGCCAGGCAGCAGAGCCTTGCTCTGACTTAGTAGGGTGTTTGGGTAGTGGTGAGGAACACGGCTTCGTTACACAGAGTTGATGGATTTAACAGATACCGAGCCAGACACTGCCCAGGCCCGAAGGCGTGCTTCTTCGCATTCCAGTGGAGAGGGCAGTCAGCAGAAGGGTAAAATGCCACCGGAGTGACGTTGGGGGTGTGGGAGCAGGCAGGGACACCAGGGAAGGCATCTATCTCTGAGGGGTTCAGAGCCAGGCCCATAGGAGGTGAGAAAAGAGTAACCTGGTCCCAGAGGGAGGGAGGGAGGAAGCTGAGAGGAGAGGGGAGTCGAGGTGGTGCTGGTGATGATGATTGTGTAGTATGGATCTTTTAAACTCTGCTTTCCTGGCCACAGGGGAGAGGGGAGCAGTCAAAAATGAGCCACTGCCTCATTTTTTAACAGCTAATTCCTGGCGGTGCCATGGTTAAAGCACTCTGCCACTAACCGAAAGATACAGTTTGAACCTGCCAGCTGCTTTGGGGGTAAAGGATGTGACAATCAGCTTTCCTGCCTTAGAGGGTTGCTTAGAGTTGGAATTGAGTCCATAGCAGTGGGTTTTACTGAGATAATATTTACATACCAGGAATTACCCATTAAAAGTGTACAGATAGTGGTTTTTAGTATATTCACAGAGTTGTGCAACCATCACGACAGTGCATTTCACCGTAGCCCTTATCCAGGGAGAGGCCTCTATCTTACCTGGTGTACCCTGGTAGCAGAAACGTCCCAAGCAGAGGGCTTTAACAAAGAGAGATTTGTTCTCACAGTTGAGGAGGCTAGAAGTACAATTTCCGAGCACCAGTTCTGGGGAAGGTCATTTCTCTGGGCCCTAGTTCTAAGAGGCTACCTGCAAGGACTGTGCATCCAAGGGGTGCTCCACTGCCAACTCTCCTTTCTTGGTCTCTGCAATCTCCCCTTGTTTGTTTAATTTCTTTAATGTCTCAAAACTGGTTGACTCATCATTGTACTGTGCTGCCCCGATTAACAACCAATTCTATCTCATTAGTTTCTTAGAGGTTCGGATTTCCAACACGGGATAATTGTACCCCTTCACAAAAATCAAGGTAATTACATAATACCGGCAATCATGGTCTAGCCACGTCTCAGGTACTTTGGGTTACACAACTCAGCCCCCTACAGCCAGCAATGCCTGGTTTCATTTTACCTCACCAGACAGTTATCTCTGGGAAAGTGGAGTTCCAACTGCAGCTCTGGGCACACACAGGTTTTCCGGAATTCCTTAAGCACACGTTTGGAACAAAACGTGACTTGTTATCGGTGGGTCAGCCATGGGGAGCAGCCCAGCCTTTGCTGGGTGTCTGGGTTGTCTCCTTCCTACCTGGGTCTCCGGATGTCCTGGTTTGCAGTGAGAGGTGCAGGCTGAGGCTGGCCCTGAGGGCACAGGGCACAGCTCTGAGGCTCTGTCCCTGTGTGTTTATCGCTGCTGAGAACATCGTGGACCCAAGGCTAGCTGTGGACTGCTAGCCCATGTTTGGCTTGCAAAACAGGTTTCACATAAACATCTTGAGTTCTGGCTTCCCTGGAATAACGTGCCCACCTTACTCGTCTGGAACTGAGTGGAGAGAGCGCCCTGAGCTCTCCCCGTTGCCAGTCTTCACTGTGCTCTCCTGTACCCCACTCCTTAGACCCCGAGTCTGGCCCTGAGTCCAGATCAGTGTGTAGCCCAGGTATCTGCCATTTCTAAGAAATGGAAGCGGTGGCACCCACCAGCTTCAGAAGGGGTTGTGTACTCCCTAATTTATCACATGTTCTGTTCCAGATGTTCAGCTGATTTAAGGGGAGAAGCAATCCAGATACCTAGCCTTTCCATGTTATTCTAAACTGCAGACCCCAAAATATTCTTTGCTAAGCAAACCTTTTTATTTCTGGGATTAAACCCGAACCTGTCATTATATGTTACATAATCCTGTATGTAAATGAGCATTGTATTGCAGTAATAAACACCCACAAACTAGGTGGCTTAGAATCACAGAATTGCAGACTTACCTCAGAGATAGTGTGTGTTCGGTGCCAGATCACAACCACTAATGTAACTATTGCCATAAAGCTAGTCACATAAGACTTTTGGTTCCCTAGTGCATGTAAAACATATCTACACTATACTGTAGCTTAGTAAGTGCAGTATCAGGATTAAAATGTTATAAATCCAGAACTATCAAAATACAGCACACTTTAGAAAGTGAGCTCGTGTTGGGACAATTGGGACCAGCAGATTGGCTTTTTGCAGGGTTGGCACAAGCCCTCAATTTGCCCTAAGGCCTCAGCGGAGCTGTGTGTGTGTGTGTGTGCGCGCGCACACACACATGCACACTGTGTATACATATTTACAAAATCACGATGTTGAAGGTGGAAGTGGGGAGGCCGGCCTAATAGGTGCAAACTGACAACAGTGCCTGATAAGAAACTCGGAAGGCAGCCCTCCCATGTTTCGGTGGTGGTGGGGTGTGTGTGTGTGTGTGGTGGGGAGACCACTTTGAAAAAGGAGGGTGTGAATGGTTACACAACTGGGAGAATGTAACTAACACCACCAGAATGTACATGTGAATGCTGGTGAATTAGTGTATGCTCTGTGTATACTGTCAGCAACAATAAACTGTTTAGAAAATACAAATGTAAGATACTGGCAGGGCTGGGCACCCACTGAAGGCTCCAGGGAGACGCTTCCTTGGTTTGGAGGCACAGCTGCATTTTCTGGTGCAGGTTCACAAAGAGAAGGTGTCTGCCAAGCAGGCAGCGGGCAACATGGGGGAGCCATGGGCCATCCTGGACCGCTCCCCTGCCACCCTGGAGTTCTCCCGCCTGCACTTCCGGAAGTTTGTTTACCAGGAGACCGAGGGCCCCCAAGAGGCTGTGGCCCGACTACGGGAGCTGTGCCACCAGTGGCTGCGGCCCGAGGTGCATTCCAAGGAGCAGATGCTGGAGCTGCTGGTGCTGGAGCAGTTCCTGGACATCCTGCCCAAGGAGGTCCGGGCCTGGGTGGTGGCTCACCATCCTGAGAGCTGCCATGAGGCGGCCTACCTAGTGGAGGGCCTGACTGAGGGCCTCGGGGAGCCAGTGGAGGCTGCCACCCCTAGGGCAGAGCGTGCTTTAGAAGGGCACGAGCAAAGGTGTTCTGGAAGAACTGGCATCGGTGGAGAGTGGCTTGCCCAAGAGAACTCAATTCCCGCAGGTCTAAGAGGTGAGCATCTCAGAGCTGGTTGGGCAACAGCTCCATCTAAAGAGTACCCTCCCCCTGCACCCCCTGGGAAGTGCCCTCTGTCGTGCCTCATTGGTCAAGACCACTGCTTGGGCTTCTGCCCTCCCTCACATCCATCTTCCTCATGTGCGGAAGCAGTAGGAGGAGGGCCAGGCATGAGTTAGCCCCTTAAGAGCTGGGTAAACGATCAGGGCACCTTTCTGTCCCCACAGTTAGGGAGTGGGTGAGCAGGTGGCAGTCAACACTATGTCTGAGGACTTATCCTGTGGGCCAGGGTCAGAAGCCTGGGTCCCTGCCTGTCTCCTGTGAGTTAGCTGTGTGATTGTTCCTTGGGGCCCAACCTCTGCTGCTATAGCAGAAAAGCACAAGTGAGGGCTTTCACACACACAGATTTATCTTCTCATAGGAGACTAGAAGTCCAAATTTAGGGTGCAGGCTCTAGGGAAGGCTTACTCTTTGTGTGGATCTGAAAACCCATGTTCTCTGAGCTTCTGTCCCAGGTTGATCTTGGCATGTTCCCCACCCCACCCCCATCTCTGCTTCCACCCCTTGCTTGTTTGATCTCTTTTATATCTCAAGAGAGATCACTTAGGACAGAACCTTAGTAGTACTTTCTTGTTAGCATAACAAAGAAACCCCAGTCCTAAGTGGGATTATAACCACTGGTATAGAGGAGCCCTGGTGTAGTGGTTACCTGATGGGCTGCATGGTTGGCAGTTCAAAATCACCAGCAGCCCCTCTGGAGAAAGATTGGGTTTTCTCCTCACACAAACAGCCTTGGAAACCCACAGGGGCTCGCTATGAATCAGCATTGACTCTTATGGCAGTGAGTTTGGTTTGATAGCAGTTAGGATTTACAACACCTGAGGATACAATATAATCCACAACAGTCCTCTTTAGTATCTACAAGGATGCTGTCCAGTTCCCCGAGGGTGGTCCTCAGGTTTGGGGGAGAGGGGCCGGGTGGGAAGTTGCTGAGCTATGCTGTCTGCTATTACCAGGTGGGCCACCGAGTGCCATCCAAGACCCAGAACCCAGGGAGACTTGGGCACGCCCTGAGGCCCGTAAGTGACTGCTGGGCCCAGTGTGGTGGTGGTGGTGGTGGTGGTGGTGAGTCTGACCTGGTGTGGACGGGTAAAGGGCACTGTGTTATCATGGACGTTTTGAAGTCTGTGGTAAGTTCAGGGTTCGTGTAGGCTCTATAAAACTTGCAATGATATTCTTTTTTATTCCTCCTCCTGTGATATTATACATATTGCACGTGTTTAACACAAGCATTGACACAGGAGGAAAAAAGTAATAGTCTCCCCAACTTCTCACCCACTCCCTAAAAATAAACCCAGATGGCACAGTCAGGGGCCTTTCCCATCTTTCACATACCCCTCTCCCTAACACACACACACACACACACACACACACACACACACACACCTGTGGTTGGTTTCCAAGGGAGCTTGTTCAGAGCAGTCCCTACAGCTTTTGCTCCAGGCCTTTGGCAGAGATGTGCCACTGTCCCCTTGCACAGCTGTGCAGCTTCCTGAGTAGCCATTGGCTGACGCAGCCATCGGAGCTCACTGTCAGGGGTTGGTTTCTGCCCTTCCGAGAAAGCCTCAGCACAACACCCTCAGCTGTGTGTTTGGCAGCTGTGTTTGTGCAGGTTGAGTTCTCAAGGTGGAGCATTGGACAAAGGCACTGGGATTTAATACTTCTCATAAAACAAATTTCAACGTGGTTTGCCAAATTTTTGGTGGCTCTTTTCAGTGCCAGGGAGCCCTGGTGGTGTAGTGATCATTAATCCAGCTGCTAACTGCAAGGTCAGCAGTTCAAAAACACCACCCTCTCCCCGGGAGAAAGACAGGGCTTTCTACTACTATAAAGAATTACAGCCTTGGAAACCCCCAGGGGCAGTTCATCCTTGTCTGCTAGGGTCTCTGTGAGTTGGCTTTGGCGCAATAGCAGTGAGTTTGGTGGTGGGTTTTTCATTCACTGCCAGTATTTGAGCATATCTGTTTTCCTGCAGCCTTGGCAGCATTATTTATTGTTGCTTTTAAACTGTCTTTCATCGATTTCAGGGGTGAAACATCCGACCTCCTTGGTTGTAGTGGAATTTTCGGGTCCCTGGTGGGCCTGCGCTTTCTGTTCTCTTATTTGTTGCCCTGTGAGCTGAGGTCAGCTGCTGTGGTAATTGAGCCTGGGATGCAGAGTCTTCCCCACTCTCAGTCTGAAATCCTTTCATTCTCTTCCGGGGCAAGACCTGTGTGGGAGGGACAGTGGGCGGCTCCCTGCCTGGCTGAAGGGTGTTCAGCTTTGTCTGTCTTTCATTCCAGAACAGCCCTTGTTGGACAGTGTACATTTGGATCAGGGTAGACTCCATGAGGAGACACCTGAAGAGGCTAGACCTGCCGCAGCTGAGCCACAGGTGGGTGGGGTCCCTGTGTCTCCTGGCAGGTGGAGGTCATTGCTGAGGGCAGGCTAGGCTGATCAGCTGACAGGGCCTTTCCCTGAGAGGAGGACCTTTGTCACTCTGGTTGTCCAGCACCTTACCCCTCCACCCTTACTGATAGGTTGCCCACTGGGGTCCCCAGAGAGGCCAGCATAGGAGGTGGGTGAAGGCTGGTGGACTGGGAGTTGGGGGCTTGTGTGCTCAGCAGGGGAGGTTCAGGTGCTGCCATCCTCCGAGCCACAGTGGGGAAGAGCCCAGCAAACCTGGAAACAAGCAACACTCACAGATTGTGGACCCACTCACTGGTGGGGGAAAGAGCGGGGAACTGCAAGGCTGCCCAGGGCGACTGACAGCAGACCTCTGAGCTGGGCTGGGGTGAGCAGAAGCTTATCTCGGAGCCTTGGGGAGAGGGTCTGGGAGTGAGCAGTGAGTGTCCCCAGGACACAGGAATAAGACTGGGCTGAATGGCAAGGGCTGGGAAACTGGGGTAACAGAGGGAGGGATCATGTCCCTGCTTCAGTTTCTCCTTTCAGCCCAGTCTGTCCTGATTGCCCAGAATTCACCCCTCCCATTGCCTTCAAGGGCACTGTCATCCCCAGACACAACTAATTCCCCTCCACTCAGTCCCCCGCCCCCCTGTTGCCCTCCAGCTACTGCCCCCAAGTCTAGTCCTGAACAGGGGCGAGGGATTACCCACAATTGAGAACATGATCCAACTCCTTGTCACAGCCATAGGCAGCCCTTGTTCCTCTTGGCTCCTCACAGGTGTTGTCCCCACTTCCCTGGTGGCCCCTGGACTTCCTGGTCTTTTTTTTTTTTTTTAATTGGGGGCTCTTACAGCTCTTATCACAATCGGACCTCCTGGTCTTGCTGCTGGGCCACCTCTCACCAGGGCATGCTGCCCTGGTTTCTGCTTTCATGGCTCTGGTCAGTGATGTTTCCCTCTCTCTGGTGGGAGCAAAGACCATTGCTATCCTGTTCTCATGGTGTGTGAGGCTGAGGAGAAGCTCAGAGGATGAGAAAACCTTGGGGTATTGTCCCTCAGAGGATATTTGCGGACGTCTGGAGATGTTTCTGAATGTCACATGAGGGGGAGGTCTGGATGAAGACTCCGCAATAAAGGCCGGGTGGGCAGGAAGCAGGGCCTTCCGGTGATACCCCACAGGCTGGCTCCAGGGAAAGGGCCCTGCCCGCTGGGGACTTCTGTGTGATGCATGGTAGTAAGAAGATCCCAGGGTGGTACCGCTGGTGCCACTGTTTGGCCCGCTCCTCCCTCTGGATGGGAGGGAGAGTCAGGTGCTGGCTGACCAGGATCCTGCTGCCATTTCAGGAGCCCAGGCTGTTACCTGAACTATCTCTGCACTCAAGGGACTGGAGCCTGCTGGACCCCGTAGAGGAGAACCTGAGGACCTACCAGAAGCTGCTGCTGTGCGGTGAGACAGACAGCCGAGGCTGTTCGGCCCCGAGGTGTAGTGCCCTCCACCCTCTGCCAGTGCGTGGCTGCAGCACAGCCTGTTCTGAGCTCCCCTGAGCACTGTGGTGGTGGTGATGGGGGTGTGGCATAGCATTTGAAGGTGAACACCTTGGCTAAGGACTGCCCCTTTCCTGGATGCGCATTTGAATTCTGCCATGGCCACAGGGTTTCTATGTCTGCAGGCCCTGCCTGTGGGACCTGAAGACCCTAGGTGTGGCGATGAGACATGGTCAGTTTCTCTGGGTGGAGGGTGAGCGACTCCACATTCTTGCCCCCATAGTTTGGCACCAGAAACCTCGTTGTGGCTTCATTTTGTTTTCTTACATATTTTTACTTATTTAATTTTTTAAAATTAAATACTTTTATTGGGTGCTCTTACATCTGTTATCATAATCCATACACTCATCCATTGTGTCAAGCACATCTGTACATATGTTGCTATCATCATTTTCAAAGCATTTTCTTTCTACTTGAGCTCTTGAGATGAGCTAATTTTCCCCCCTCCCTTCCATTTTCTTTTATTTTCAACATTGTTTGACCCTGCATCCCCCACTTCTCAGTCTTGTCCAGGTGGGCCCTTCCCCTTTGCTCCACCCCCATCCCATCCACCCCCATCCCATCCATCCCCAGAACCCTAGCTCAGTGGGGACTCTGACAAGAGGCAGCTTGCCTGGACTGGAATCCTGACCCTGGCTTTCCACAGGACAGGCCTGTTGATTGCTTTCTGTTGTGGTTTCAAGGCCTCTGAGTTCTTTTGGTGTTATGGCTCCACAGAGTTTCAGCTTGCCCAGCCTGATGGGGTCTCCAGGTCGGAAACAGAAGAACTTCAGTTGGTGGAGGGAGCAACAGCTGGAGCCAGTCCTTCAGGTGAGTCCTTCAGTGCTGGCCAGGGCAGGGGCTGGGGAACATGCTGGCCAAGAGAGACTCCACAGCTCAGTCAACCTCAGCAAAGCCCTCAACTTTGACCTCATTCATTGTCCTCCTCCTGTGAGTCCCCACAGCACCCATCTTCCCACCTCTTCCACAGGAGAAGATAGGGGATCTATTTCAACGATCCTCCTGCTGCATAAAATGAGAGATTAGTAACTATCACGATTCTCTGGCTGGATTTAGCTGGGCAGCTGCTCTGTGCTATCTGGTGGCTGAGGGACCCACTCACAAGGCCAGGCATGTGGGTGCTCAAATAGGGCTGAAATGTCCAGACAGCCTCATGGCTATTGGCTAGGGTGGCTTGGTGCCCTTCTACATTGCCTCTGCAAGTGGCCAGTTGAGCTTACTCATGATATGGCAGCTGGGTTCCAAGAGGGCGCATTCCAGGAAGGTTGGCACCATTATGTGTACTTAGCAAATCTCTTGCTTACAACATGTGTGCTAATTCCCCATTGGCTGCAGCAGGTCGCACAGCCAAATGAGTGTGTATATGTGGGTGTTGGGGTCAGGGAGTGGCATGAATCGCAGGTGTGGTTCACTGAGGACCATCTTTCTATTCTCCCCTCACAGTCACCGTCCTTCACGCCTGGCATCTTGCTGCCATTTTTGTTCCTTGCTCATATAGTTGTTTCCTGTTTGAGGCCCGAGGACTCAGGACCACTCACATTTTGGCCCCATTTCAGGCAGCAGGAACAGGCAGGGAATCACACAGTGCATATGTCTGACCCCTTGTGGGAGACGGTGATGGAGAGGTTCACAAGGACCATTCTCATTTCCCCTCCTCAGGCACCAAGTGGGAGGAGGAAGAAGAGCCACAGAAGGTGCTGGATGTCCAAGAGGGGCAGTCACGCCCCGTCGTCATAGTCCACAGGCAGTCGGTCATCCAGAAGCCAGTGCAGGGCAGGGGCAGAGCTGGGGAGCTGGGCAGAGCTATGGCTGCAGACCCAGCCAGCCCACCCATAGGACTGGGAAGAAAGCGGCCCCGCCCTGAGAATCTAGGTCAGCAGACCCCCAACTATGGCTCCAGAATGAATCAGCAGCAGCCATGCCTTGTGAGGGAGAAGCCTGCTGCAGCTGGCAATGGGACTCGGTCCCGGGGTGGGCAGGCCTGGGGTACGTCCACCTGGGGCTCCCCTGGGACTTCAGAGCCCGAGGGGGCCCAAGGGAAGCCCTACGTGTGCAGTGAGTGTGGGGAGGCCTTTGCGTGGATCTCATACTTTTTCGAGCACCACAGGAGACACACTGGCAGGCAGCGCTACGCATGCCAAGGCTGCTGGAAGACCTTCCGCTTCAGTATGGCGCTGGCTGAGCACCGGAAGACCCACGAGAAGGAGAAAGCCTTCATGCTGCGGAGGGCCCTGACCACCCAACGGGCCACACACGGAGCCCAAGCTGCTGGAAGGTCTGGCAGGCTCCTGGAGGGCCTGCAGGGGGACACCGTCCCCTGTGCCATCTGAGACATGGAGAGCAAGCACCGTGGGTAAGAGCACTCTGCTGTATGTCCCCTCAAGAAGGGTGCCTTCTCCTGGCTGGACATCCTGAATTGAATGCTGTGGGGCTCCTTTGAAATTTGTTTTTGGTTTCCTGTGGTGCGGGTGTGCGTGGAAAGCTGCTTAGTTTCTGAAGCACTTCCCCTGCCTGGCCCCCCCGAAGCCCCAGGCCTAGGCCTGAAGCAGATGCTGTTGTCCTCAGTGGGAGCCTCCAGTTGTGAAATGACCACATTTGCTTCTGCAGCCGTTTTAGTGCCACCCATGCATTGGAACACTTGATATTGTGCAAAGCATAGAGTTGCCTTCAGTTGTGTGTGCTCTGTCATTTGTTCGTTCTTGACGCTAACTTTCCCTCGTTTCCTCCTGTTTGAGCTCCTCAGGGTCGCTGTTCAGGAAGCAATCTTGCCAACTCTTTTGGCCTTGCCATAGCTATAGTGTGTCAAATTGACTTCTGAATCCTGAAACGCAGCAGCTGTTTCTTATTTAATTCGTTTGTCTTAAGCTGTGTGGAATGGTTTATAGAGATCCTAAAAACACCAGAGCCTGGTAAGGCAGGGTTTTCAAACTGTGTCTCTCGGCCTGTTAGTGAACCGTGAAGTCAGCTTAGCATTTCAAAGCAGTGAACGAGGACACATCAGAATGTATATTACACTGTCAACACAAGTATTTTGTGAAACTTTCTGGCCAAAAATCTAAATATGGGAACTGAATTGCAATAAAAAATGCATATCTCACTGGAGGTTATAATCAAAAGTCTGAAACCACTAATAAAGGTTGAGGAGCAGGAGCTATTTCTGCAAGGACACAGGAAAGCAAAACTTCTGAGTTACATATTGTGATTGTTTGACTTCTGCATGTAATCTCAGATTACAGCACTGTTTCCATTCTATGTGAGTGTAAAGTTAATTGCTCTTTAGACACAGAAGCTAGTGCCTCTTTTTGTCACTGTGTTTGAGTAATTGATCTCAGACAGTAATAAAAGACATAATAAAGGATGAGTTCCTCACTCTCATTACAGTCTAATGGCTTGTGATTGTGGCTGTGGCTTACTGAAGGGGGTGGGGGGGCCGGGAGTGGTTTTCTGCTCCATGCAGGAACTCAGGAATCCAGGCTCCACCCCTTTGTGCCTTCATTCTCCACTAGACCTCTGGAACATGAGGGAAAGGTCACTGTTCAGGTAACACGTCACTTACTTTCTTCACACTGGTTGAGAAGAACAAACAAGGCTTATGTCACTGGTGCAAGTCAAGGTCAGACAGATCTGAAGGTGGGCAAATGCCTAACCAGGTAGGACCTTCATTACCAGATGAGGGCTTTCTCTTTGCTTGATAGGTGGTAGGAAGCAACTGGAGGCTGTGAGTTGGAAGTAACCCAACTATAAAACCCAAAACTAAACTCGTTGCTATAGAATTGATTCGACTCTTAGCGACTCTATAGGACAGGGTAGAAATGCCCCTGTGGCTTTCCCAGATTGTAACTTTACAGCAATAGAAAGCCCCGTCTTTCTCCCACAGAACAGCTTCATAGTTTTGAACTGCAGATTGCAGCCCAACTTGTAATCACCACGCCACCATGGCTCCTCAAGTATAGGCATTAGAAAGTATGTTTAGAGAGTTCTTAGTTACTATGTAAACAAATTTCCCCCTGACCAAATGGCATGAAATACAATTCTGCCTGGTTTGGAAAAGATTAGTTTGTACTCTAGGCTTCAGTTTGGAATTTGGGAGCCCAAGAGAGTTAAACCTGGGGGGCTGGAATCATCTGAGGATTGACTCAACATGTCTCGTGAGTTTGGGAAGTAGCGCTGTTGACTAGAGCCCCTAAATGGAACCTCTGGTTTGGCATGCTCAAAGAACAGAAGTCCTCGTGTCAGACATGCTACATGGCCTCTCCGAGCTCCCCGCACAAGTGTTCCGTGTACAACCAGAAGCTGCCTAGCCTTTTCCTTACCCTCAGAAGACATCCCCAATCTTCAGTCTGATCTGGCTAGGAAATGCATCTTCCTGTCTTGTTTATTACTTTTGGTACCAATAATTAAAACCATATTAACTACTAATCCAATTAGGCCAGACCCTTTAGAGTTGGGAATGCAGTTTTCCTCATATCCTGGGTTTAGCTCATTCACATTCGCTTTGCTAGCTGGGTGCCATCAGGGAGGGGAGTCATCTCACCTGGTTTAGGGTAGAAGTGATTTCTCTGTGGGTCCCATCTCCTTGTTGCATCCCCATTTGTGAATGGAAAATAGGGGTCTGCACAGGTACACTGGCACAGATAGGAACTGGAAACACAGGGAATCCAGGACAGATGATCCCTTCAGGACCAGTGGTGAGTGGTGATACTGGGAGGGTGGAGGGAAGGTTGGGTAGAAAGGGGGAACTGATTAGAAGGATCTACATATAACCCCCTCCCTGGGGGATGGACAACAGAAAAGTAGGTGAAGGGAGATGTCGGACAGTGTAAGACACGACAAAATCATAAATTATCAAGGGTTCATGGGGAGGGGCAGGGAGGGAGGGGAAAAGATAGCAAGGGCTCAAGACTGATGGCAACAAATGTGCTTGACACAATGGATGTATGTATGGATTGTGATGAGTTGTATGAGCCCTCAATGAAATTATTTTTTAAAAAATAGGGGTGTGTACTAGGCAGTTCAAAACCAGCAGCAGCTGTGCAGGAGAGTCACTGAGTCAGCATTGACTTTCTTTGGTGAAGACTGCTGTAGCAATTTCAACAAACTATTAAAACATGAGTCTGTTGGTATGCAGTTTGATTCTTTATTTACTAAACTATGTTGGAATACCCAAAGCCACAGTTACCAATTTGATTTGAACCCACAGTCACCATATAGGACAGAGTAGAATGGTTCCTTTGGGTTTCTGAAGCTGTAAATCTTTATGAGCAGAAAGACTGATCTTTCTTCCACAGAGCAACTCACGGGTTTGAACTGCTTCTTTCATTTTGGAAAAAAACTGCCACAGAGTCAATTCTGACTCATAGTAAATAGAGCAGCCTTAATATCCTTTGCAAAGGGATCATTCTACAAGAACCACACTCCTAGGGATCCTGGCGTAGCACAATTAGCATACTTGTCTGCTTTCTTACGGTCCAAAACATACTCAAGAATAGCAGCACAGAGGAGGTAGGGTAGACGTAGTGGAGGGAGAACAAAACTGCTGAGCATTACATCAAAAGGTTTTGTTTTATGTTGATACAGGGGAAGAGATTGTTAGATTTATGTTTGTTTTTAAAATGTGACTACTAGAACACTGGAAATTTACCCATTTTCTTAAATAGCATTTAAAATGACCCTCAGATTAAAGTGAGGAACGGTATCCAAAGACTTTAACATGGTACATCAGAGAAAAATGCACTGGAAACTTAAACCCCAGCATTTTGATTAGTTAAAATCATACTGATTTACATAATTAAACTAATGGTTGGTGATTTTTTAAAAAGCAGCCAATGCAATTTAGCTGTGCTTTAAGGTTGGCAAGTCACTACAGACCATCGCTGGAAGGAATGAGGGAAGGGTGTGTGAGGATGGATTGGGATTGCAGGTGTTGGTGTTTTCGTTATATATGTATATGCACGTTTTTCACTATGTAGATTCATGGTTGAGTGAAAGACTTGTCTACTTTTAGAATGTGTGAAAACAAAAGATTACTAAATATCAGAATTGACAACAGTCCAAGAGATTAGCTTGTATATTTTTCCAAATGAATCTTGAAAAACATTCCAATGTGAAGGTGTTGTGTTATTGGGCATAAATGGTGACTTAGAAAAGAAAAAAGCCGTCTATTTATTTTAATAATTTTATTGGGGGCTCTTACAGCTCTTATCACAATCCATAGATACATCCATTTTGTCAAGCACCTTTGTACATGTTGTCATCATGTTTTTAAAATCATTTTATTGGGGGCTCATACAACTCTTATTGCAATCCATATATATACCCATTGTGTCAAGCACATTTGTACATTTGTTGCCAACATTCTCAAAACATTTGCTTTTCACTTGAGCCCTTGGCATCAGCTCATTTTCCCCTCCCTTCCTGCTCCCCTCTCCCTCATGCACCCTTGATAATTTATAAATTATTATTATTTTTTAAAACATTTTATTAGGGGCTCATACAACTGTTAACACAATCCATACACACATCAATTGTGTAAAGCGCATTTGTACATCATTCTCAAAACATTTTCCCTCCACTTAAACCCCTGGCATTAGGTCCTCAT